GTATGCATGTATGCATGTCGTGCGTATCTTCCACACCACTGAGAGACTATACCTACAACCTACGGCTGGGTTTTTAGGGTCTAAGAAATTATAAAACCCTAAAATCCTAAATCCTACGGCTGGGGACTGAACCATACCCTCACATGACATTGTAGTGTTTACAGGCGCAAGGTTTTACTCTGAATGACATATGAGTGCAGTCCGATGTAGTGTGAATGGGACAGTTGTCTTGGTCTGTGATACGTTATACTAGGTAAGAGGTGGTACTGTAAGGTTTTAGGGTTCAGGGTTTAGGGTTTAGGGTTTGGGGTTCAGGGTTTAGGTACATAGAGCGCAAATGCATTCATTCAGATATGTACGGATACCACTCTCTGTGTAATTATAACCCCAACAATGCTACAATGTGCAGACAACACCTACCGTGTGACTACCTACGTATATAATCACAATGTTACCACGCACGTACATACCTACCATGATACTGCGTACGTATATGCCTACCATATTCCTACCTACGTACATACCTACCATGTTATTTTGTACGTCTATACCTACAACGCTCCTGCGTATATATACTACCTACCATACTCCTACCTACGTATATACCTACAACGCTCCTGCGTATATATACCACCTACCATGTTACTGATATGCTCGCGTGTGTCGTCTGTGAATATCCGCAACTCAGCGAACTCCAACTCACACCAGCGCTCGGCCAGAGCCTTTGTTCCTTTGTTGTTGCCAATGCTTATCCATCCGGCCTTTGAGTGTGTTCTCCTGTTAGATAGGAATGTGTGAACGGATTGAGGTTGTACAGGTGTTGAGTGTGTGTTATAGTTGTGCGATGTATGTGTACGGTTCTGTATCGTACAGTTGTTGAGTGAGTTCTTAATTTAAATGGCGTGTGTTCATGGATGAAGATCATAGACAAAACGCTGTACAAGTAAATCATGCAGAATTGGTACAAAGGGGGTTTCACAGATATAGAATTATAGCGATAGTGTACATTACAATATGATTCTAACAGCATACTTGCATATAATTATATATATATATATATATATATATAACTATATAACTACATATCTATATATCTATCTATGTTTATATAAATATAA